ACAATTTACATGTGTTTTTAAATAAATAAAGACATTATAAAATTATGTAACAACTCTTTTGAGAATCTGCCATAAAGTTTTGGAACCAGTATAATTTTATATTTGATATATATTCTCAAGCTAAAATGACAGTCTTCAGCACAATAACAAGGCCATTATGAAAACACTTAATTATTAACATTATATTAAAGTCATTATTGTCGTGTTAATTTTAACAATTTAATAACGAATGATAAAAGGTTTGCAAACATATTCAAAAATAACATTAATATTTCATCTTTTTGTAAATCTAAAATAATCATAACAATTTAAATGCAAGTTAAACAAGATCAGACTTATTTTAGAACCTAAATATCTATTGGTCGACAATGAATACGTAAAACAGATAAAGATATGATAGTGTAAAATATAAAATCATTAGATCCGGGGACGGTGTCATTTAAAAAGGATCTTTATATCAAATTATAAGTAACTTGCAAAGATATGTACTATTATTGTGTAATATTTATGTAATAAACTAGACTATAGTGCAGACTGGAAATGTGTGATTTGTTTCAGCAGTTTAAAAAACATAGAATGGGACATCAATACTGACAAGACAATGAATCAGTAATAAATAAAATAATTGATATATAATTTTGTAAAAAAAAACAAATGACGTTTTTTAGAAAATAATTAACAAAAAATTTCAAAAATGTTTTATTAGAAAATCAATACCGTCGTCTGTATCTACAAATCTAGGGCCATATCACTTGTCAAAAATATTTCTTAACTAATAATATCTGAATAAGTAAATAAATCGAAAAACTCACTACTGTTCACAATATACAAGGGATAGAGTTTGCATTCCCCTAAAAATCGACGAGTCTTTATGACTGAATAGAAAATTCTTTGTAAGTACTCTTACATCTGGATACATAAGCCCGAAAAGATATAAAAATATAAACATTTCAAACAATACGGATAAAATAGCGGGTAAAAGGAATTAAGTCATGCCGAGTGATATTAATTTACTTTTAAAATTTTTCACTTAGATATTACGTAAATGTTTTCGCAAAGTTTTTGGAAGTACATACAAAACTAAAACAAACAAGAATTATAAAAACCATGGTTCAACTTGGACTGTTTCACCGCAACAAAGGTATTTAAAAAGCAAGGAATGTTTTTGTTAAAAATAATTCTAATATAAACTATAGACAAGAATTTGTTAATGCAAAAACAAAACACTTATAACAAGATCAAACGTATACAAAAGTACAAGTACAATTTAAAAAAGAAAAAACTCTTTATATTTTAAGAAAATCTCAGCCGCGTCAATTTTTGGTAAACACAACAAAACAATACTCAAAATATCAGCCAACAGCAGGAAATCTTGATATTGACGATTTTTGTAATGTTTATATTGTTCAGATAATACACATTTGAACGATGAAGAACTAAGTGGTAAATATGATGAAACTATGATGATCATTGCAAAATAACTGTTTCAGAAATAAAAGAAGCAATCTATTCACAAAATGATAATAAAGGAGAAGTACTGATCGCAGAAATATAGAAACAAACACTCATTTCCATTTATTTCACAAATAATACTAGAATTATTTAATAGAATTTTTGAATCTGGAGAATACCCAACGTAATGGTGGTCAGGAATCATAGTAATAATGTTCAATAGAGGGGACATTCATGAAGCAAAAGGTTACAGACGGATAACACTTATAATTATCATTGCATTACTATATTCTCAAGTCTTATCAAATCGTCTTACAAAAAAAATAACTTCTATAAATTATGTATAATCTGTGTGGATTCCAAGGGAAAATCAACAGTCGATTGTATTTTCTTTTACAAGCTATTATGTTCTAGTAAAAAGCTATACTGTGCATTCATAGATTCTGAAAAATGTTTTGACAAATTAGAAAGGTCATTTATATTTGAAAAACTTGTTAAAGAAAGAGCAGATTTTTAATTCATTTAAGCCATCCGATGTATGTATAATATTGTTAAAGCAGTTGTAAGGTACATTAAAAGCTTTTCACCTTCTTCTGAATCAATCATCGGCGCAAAACGGGGCGATCACGGCTCCAATCTCTTATTTTTATTATTTGTGAATGATATATTAACCGATAATATTGGCAACTTTTCATACTTCTTTTTGCCGATGATGCCGTAATTGTTGCACATTTCAAATCATAAATAATATATATAAACAAACTTGGTAGTCAGAAATTAATAATTCAAGTAGATTACAAACATACAGACTATGTATAAGTATGACCTCGAAATTGAAAAATACTTTAATTGTGTAAATATAAATAAATACAACTAGCGCAATTTCGGTTATCATCACAATCTAGAAATTGAAATTGGTATCCAATAGAAAATAGACTATGTCAACAATGCAATATGCATGCCACCGAAAATGAATTTTTTACTCGTTTGTCCAAAATATTTTAGCCTTCGTAAGAATTTTTTAAAATCATATTTTTGCCGTTGTTACACTTAAAAAAATGGAAACTTTAATGTTATCAAAAAATGAAAAGGAACTTAATAATTTCTGAAGATATTTATATTTTTCATTAAAAGTAAGAAACACTGATTATCTTGTATATTGTTAGATCTACATAAAGACATACCTGAAAACATATTATTTGATTGTTTTTGTATCTATATATTTCGCATTAAATAGAGGATATGTGTTTGTTTGTGTGTAAGATGAAATAAAATTTCATCTTACACAACAAACAAACACATTTTCTTTTATTTCATGCTTAAAAACATGTTTAAATAAAATTTCCTCAATATTAACTTGTATATTAAAATCTTTTTCCCCCACTGGTAGCCTCATTTTAGTCGACTATCTCAAAAATACGAAAACGTCTTGAGCTGAAAAAAAAGTTCGAAAATCAACGTTAGATAGTGATAATATTACTAGTATTCATTTTGTTTCAAAAACAAGAATAATCGCTTGTTTTGATAATTAAAAACAAATAATTCTAGTTGAAGGAAAAGTCACACCATCCGACCTTTTTCCGTTACTTACGGCGAATTTATATTAGCCCAGGCTTTGATTAATATGAGCGGCCGGCATTTTTAAAGGATGTGTATTTCACACGGGGAAATAATTGCGTTAGATTCAGATGGATAGCATTTGGATTTGTTAGTCATACATCTTTTTATAAGAAAGAATAAAAAAATAAAAAAAATGAAAAAAAGTTATTAAACAAATTTCAGCTTTACTTTTACCTAAACAGCCCTGACAATGTCGGAATTGTCAGCAAAATAAAATTGAGGTATCACAAGAAATACCACCAAAAAATCTTTAAAAAGTAGTCTCGCCATTAAAAGTATGAAATTATATTTTGATAACTTTCACTGTATAATTATCAAGAGAAATTTTCACGGATAAATCAGTAATCCACTCAAAAAGCATAAAAATATATATCTCTTATTGTACATGGTAAATTTACATGAAAACCTATTGAGCATATCGAATCAAGAAACGAAAAGAAAACAATCATGAATGTCTAATCAGTTTTTATTTACACTTACTATTCCATATCGTCACAATATTCAATAAAAATATTTTCATTTATATTGTCTACGGGTTGCGCATTTAAATACAATTTTTGAAAAGTAAATTAAGCACAACTTTAAGGATTCAAAGATAAACTTATTCACGTGAAAATTTTCTATAATCCCTCAATCAAACCAAGTCTGCAATTTTCATGTAATTTTGTTGTCATTAATGTTTTCGAGGGATCACTTTTTCCAATTTTTTTTTTACTTCACAACAGCAGGTGTCAAATGTCGTATGGCAGCTGTAGAATATTGCCAGTATTTCACTTTGAACAGTGTTGTTTTTAAGCTGGTCTTTCGGGATCATTGATGCCAGCTCTATTAAATGTTGATAATTGAGTACCGGTCAAGCCGGATCTGGGGGCGTGCGGGATGTTGCGCTTATTCATTATCCCTCATGTACAGACTTAATCAAACCGAGTTTTCAATTTTAATGTTATTTTGTTGTGGTTAATCACTTTGTTTACAGATTGTTTTATTAATTAAACAAAAATGTTTATTGTTAACAACATGTGCAATATTATGTAATACAGTGGTAATTAAAATTTACTCTTTAACACCCTGCTGTTTCAAATTAAATTTCTGTTATGATATCATAAAAGAGGGCTTTAATTGGTACACGCGCTTTTTTCAAAAGTTAATAGTCCCTCATACGTAGTTTCTTATGTCCGTAAAAAGGTCTATACACTTTATGACAATAATTGATCACAACCATCAGAGAGAAATACTATCTTGCTTAGGAATGTAAATGATACTAAACATATTTCTTCGTGTAACAGAAATTAAAAGTTACAATATTGTTTTGATTAGATTTTACAATGCCATCCGGTCTTTTAGGTTTATAAATAAATTTTAATGGCTGCAATGTAATACCTTTATTATCTAATTATACACGTATACTATAAGCTTTAGCTCATGATATTTTCAAACCAAACGTTTATTGATAATTTTGTCACAAGGTAGATTATTTACACAATGAGACCGAAAGGTGAAATTTTAAAAAGAAATAAATACTTATAAACGAAACCGATGCTAAAAGGTAAAATAACATACCGCAAAAATGATAATGATATTATCTATTGGAGCAGTAATTTGCAGATTAACATACTTTTTTGATCTCAGAAATGTAGAAAAATGTCTACTTATTGCCAGGACAAAATGAATATATGATGCGATTTTAAGAAAGGAACATTATTTAAATGGTAAAAATTTCTCTGTATCTGATGAATATTAGGGTTTGCATGAAAAGCAAAGAATAATGATTTGTTTTTTTTAGAAATAATATAATCAATGTCATTACCAAACGATGATACACTCGTCAATCGTGTCTCGATTTAAGGATCCGCTTTAGAAATTTTAATGAAAATGCATTTTGCTTTTTATACATGTTTTGTTAATGTACGAATACCTTCTGTTTTCAGATCTGCAGGAATAATGAAATTAGTCGACATACAAACATATTGCTTCATTATTGCTTTTCTATTCGTCGCTTTTGCCGCATTGGTCATGGCATGGTCGAAACGATTCCCCATTGGTAAAGTGATTTTCTTTTTCTTACATATTTATGCGTATAAGTATAACAATACGGGGCATCCATGGCCGATTTGTTAGGGTCGTTGACATCAAAACACTTGCTCCTCACAACCACGTGTTTGAATTCAACTGAGGACTTTATATTATTTCATGTGAGGAAGATATCCAGGTAGCATATATAATATCGGTAGTTCTACTCAGATGCCTGAAATAATATAAAGCAGGGAATTAAATCCCTCCACCAGTAAAGCTGGACAATTGCCTCAAATAGTTTACTCTGTTGGTAGACCTAAACACACAAAAAAACAAGCGCAAATATTGATTTTATATAAATACAGTATCATTTTTCTTTAAAGAAGGGCGAATGTTAAATGTTTTCAGGTAAAATTCAATATCCAATTAACTTTTATAAACTGGTTCTTCTACATGTGCATTATACTCGAAGTGCGACCATAGCTTAACCAAAGAATCAATAGCTTCTTTTTTAGAACTACCGGCATAACATCTAAATTACTCTCTTCTGATAATGATTGACAGTGATCGTCATATTTTGTTCCTTATATGTCTGTGATAATGTCAGAATCATTTTTTCCCATTGATAGTTTTATTTTCCTCTGGAGGAAAAATATTATTTAATGAAATGTCTGTGTTTGTTAATTCCTTCAGAAGAGCGAGGGGAATTTTATCTCTCATATTTTTTTTAATTGTGCGAATAGCATGTCGTCGTCATCACACATGGCTTCCTCTTCAGCGATTTAAAAAGCATTTCATAATGAAAACGAAAGTACGAAATGCGGGATCTCTTTACGGGTAGTCGATATTTTGCGTTCGTTATAAAAGTGTGATTTTCTGTACTTTGTTTTATAATCGAAAATTCCTTATAACCGTGTTCGCTAAACCATAATTTATATAAGATGAATTCGGGTCAAAAGGAAAGTGTTTCTTATAACCGGAAGTTGTTCGCTATAATCGTATCCGATATAAGTGAAGTTAACTGAATTCAAGTTAACACATTTTTGATATATTTTCAAATAACTAACTTATATGTTCTTTCTTATACAAAGTAATCACAGTAATAAATACATAAATAAGTTTCTTATATTATATATTTTCATCTAACCTTAATATTGTCTTAGTTATAACAATGAAAATTAAAGTTTTCATTTATTTTAATTGAAATTTGTTTAAGTTATTACGATCATGAATACCTTCGTTTCATATTTATTACATACACTAAAGCGCAGATGTGTAACAAAGTAATTTGATAAAAACGATAGAACGTTCACCACTCGCACACGCCGCTACTTAAAACATGCACAGTATGAAATGTTGACTTTACTTTTACATTCATTACCAAACTATAAGACTATATGGTTGATATTTTTCGCCAAGGTGGAGAACGCGGTTGGTCTTACGTTACTTGCAACTAATTGGAATAATTGTTACAGCATTTTGCGATGTCTTTGATGTCTTGCATGAACATTTGTACTTTTAGTGTTTTTTAATTGTCAACTCGCCTTGGGAAATTAACAGACCCTCTGTGATGTAAAACGTTTAATATTATCCGCTTCAGTGAAAAATGAATTTATTAAAAATGCACTTTGTGAGATTTCTTCAGTTGTATGCTTATCTTTATTATTGCTAATCTAAAGCGAACATCAAATCACACATACACAAGGAAATTAAATCGGAATGCGGCATGTCGCACGTACAACAAATCGTTGATTGTTTAAATCTCTTTTTTTTTGTTCTTAAATCTAGCTATGTGAAGAACTTATATCATACAATGTAGCTATTGGTTTGCTTCAAGTGTTTCTCTATTCAGATCAACTTAAAAACTTTGTCAGATACGATTGACAACAATATCTAAAACATTACATTGGTGTTGAATTGCCATTGAGAGCAATTAAAACTTAAAATAAAAATGTGCTAACAAAGCATACACACATATACTAAAGGTGATTAATACTCCCAACAGCAGAAGCAGAAATTTTACTCAATCTATAATTTGTAAGGTTTGAATTGTGTACAAAGAATAATTTCATATTTATTTTAATCCCAACCAGGGTCGTAATAAAACCTGGCTTATACTTAATTTGATTATAATATCTCGTTTCTGACTGAAGTTATTGTTCGAAAAAGTACTGTCTGGTAATAGTGACCCTGAACCCCAATGTATCCAAATGCAATCCCAACCGAGGTTTCAACATAAGGTAACTAAATACGAAGTTTGATTACAATAACTCATTGTTAACTAATGTTATCGTCCAGTTACATGTTTTCTGTTTTTTGTAACCATTACCTTGGCACCAGGGGGTCAAAAACAACAACAGCCGGGGTCTTTGCATTCTCTTTTTATATAGCAAGTATGATTACAATCTCATTTCAAACTCTAGTTATTGTCCGGAAAACCTTTTTTCTATTTTTTGGGAATGATTGCCTTGATCTTGATCCTGGGGCTCCCAAAGCAATACCAGCCAGTGTCTTTATGTAAGCCTGCCATATACCAGGTTTGATAACATACCTATAGAGTCCAAACAATGGCATTTACCTTAAGAAGTCAAAAAGCTTTACCGTCCGAGGTTTCCATATAAGGTTGCTATATACCAAGTTTGATTACAATATCCTAATCCAAACACATCTTATCGTCCGAAACTATGAAGGAGACTAACCGACTAACCCACTGACCGACAGGCTGACTCAATTATACCCCCTAAACTTCGTTTGGGGTATAAATATATAGTTTGAGGTGCATATCAAACAAAGGGAGTTGGCACATCTCATACTGATCATAGTTAATTTTAAGTCATTTAAGATATACAGAAGAATTGTTCAATTGTTCATAAAATAAGAAAATCAAGGTTAGATTACAGATTAGAAGAAACTGTTCTAAAGGTTCATTGATTACAATAATTAACAACTGTAATTAGGCATGAATTTACAAATGATTCGTTAACTATCTTGGTACATACAAAAGATAAAGAATTTGGCAAGATGTTCGGCTTGAAAAACCATCAATAAATTGCATTACCCGTTCATTATGTATGAAATTTATAAACATAAATAGACCTTTTGCAAGCTTTTAAACGTTCGTTTCAGTTCTATTACTCATTTTTTCCCTTAAAATGTGAACGATTTGAAATCTTTGGGATTTTTTTTACAAATGAAAGCTCAAATATATATCCCCTGTTAAAAAATGCATTTGCAGTTTTAAACCTGTAACGTGACTTTGCTTTCAAATTGCATAACGTTTACGAAAGAGAAAATAAAACAAATCTTAAGTGTTCGGCTATTACCAATTGGTGTTGTATTGTTTGTTATTTTTTGACAGTCACTCTTATATTCATGTATAATTATATAGCCCAGACAGACGTTTTGACATAAATAAGTAGACATAGATTAGTCATGTTCACACTTTGCAAATGTTCTTGTGTCAGTGACATAAATTAAGAATTAAGAACACCCCGCTAATAAGACCACTTTTTAAAATAACGAAAGCTTCTGTTCTTTTTGTCAATGGTAACATGATTCAAAATTAAGACCGTCCTGCTTACCCAGTTTTAATACCACCAGATTAAGTCCCATTTCTTTGTGTGATACTTTATTTGAGACCACTGATGTTTCAGTCACAAACTTTTATTTTTTATCTGCTTGATTGCTCTTTGCATGACACTTGATTTCAAATGCCATGTTAAAGAAACACATTCGACCTTTTTAAGTATTAAATTTCATGGTTATAAATTTACATGTATGTGTTACAAAAGCTCATTAATTTATATTCAAATCAATAATTATAAATTTCCAAAAATCTTAGCATATATTTTCGGACCTAGTCAATTACTGACCAAGTATGTGTCAATACGGACAAAGTTGTGTAAAAATTCCAATGGCGTTATTAAAATTTAGTAAATAAAATGTTTTTCTTTGAGGTTTATAAAACACATTAAAGGCTTTTTATAAGTTTATCTTACGCGCACAAAGCGTGATTTAAACATGTACTTTACAAATGACATTATACCACTATATAAAATTTATTATCTAACGATGTGACTTAGATATAAGCAAAACACGAAAAAACGAATTATGAACAATAATTTTCTTCACGTTGCAAACCAGATGTAGTATTTTTCTGTGGTGGACACGAGAGGAGATCGTATAAATGGCGTTTACTCCATATTTATAACTTGCCCCTATTACGTTATTACTATGCTTAAGAATTTCATGGACATTTTCGAAATGGCGATTGAACGCGTTGAATTTGTTTCAAACAAAATGTTTAATATATTTTAACATACATGCTACGTTGTTTTTGCATGGTTGCAGCATATGTGTCATTAAAGCTATATTATCGAGATGAATCACAAAGTATAGGTGATATGGATGATACAATGATAAAGGGTAGTGGTGACCTTATGGCTAAGATGTTTGCCTCTCAATCCCAGGATTGTGGGTTCTAGCCCAACTCGGGTCCAACTATTTTTCCTCTATTGACACCAGAACTGCTTAGTTCCAGGAAGCGGACACTAAAGTTATTAATGAAAGTTAAAAAAAGTGTTTCGCGATCGATCATGAATAAATATGTTTAAACTAATAGCTCGTATATTCATTAAGGACCCTGGAATCATTTTGTTCAAGCAGCAAAAAATATACAAAACATATTTTAGTGCAAGACGAAAATATTTTCTTGTTTGCAGGGATATTGCAGTAAGATATTTACGAAATATATTTTGCGCTTATTTGGTGAAATGTTGTTTTTAATATACACTTTAAAAAAGCAGTGAAATATTTTTCTATTACATGTATATACTTTAAAAAAATCGGTGAAATATGGGTTAATTATACACTTGTGATATTGATAAAAATAATAATAATATAATGCTGCTGCTGATGATGCTGGTGATGAAGATGGTGGTTGTGGTATTTACGGTTCAGTCATTAAGGTATTTTTTTCCTTTTCTACATTTTTTTAATAAACAGTGTTGTGCAAAACGAACTTATTTA